TGAAGTTTGAAAAGAATATCATCATGCATGTCCTATAAGATAAACAACAGCATGAATCTAGTGCGAATGTGACTTCAATTAGCAACCAATATCAACATCATAATATAATCGTTAGTTTACCTCTAGGATCTTCTGATCTGCTTGCATGGAAACCAAGCAAAACCTTTCCTTCGTCGCACTTTTCCAGTCCAATGCCATCAACATTTACATGTTTTAAACTCTTGAGAAGGCTAGTTTTGACACTAGATGTTTTTATCTTTTACCATTCAGATGATTAAATGTCCATTCAATTCACATTTGGCACTTAAATCTGTAAAACTAAAGATTTGCATCATAGAACTGATCGTATAATCAGTAAAAAGACAACAGCAGAAGGAACAATCCTCAGAAACTGCATGCATTTCAGAAGAACTTGTTTAGGAACAGATACACTGAAGAACTCTCTGTTCAGTCAGATGATACACATAGAGACTAGAATCAATTTTCTACAGATGATATAATATTACAAATTGAAGAATAATTCACATGTGGGAACACATTTCTTCATCAGATGTAACCAATAACAAATTTCTACTACTTGACTACAGATGAAAAACAGACTAATCTTGCTGCTTGATCCATAACAATGATAAGGTTCCTCTAAAATTATGCTTTCCTTTCAAACCCTCCACCCACCTGCATGTGCAGCCATTCGGGTAATAATCCTTGGGCATATTCTCTGGCTGCTTGGGCGCTAAACATCAGTCCGGTAGCATCAATTGGCTGTCCACTAAGCTGAAATCCCAGATCAATCAGTTAAAAGAGGTATAAAGAAAATCACTACGATAGAGACATAAAATTCAATGAAATAAGTTTTGTATCTGGTAAGATTTTTTTGTTCTTGGGTAAAAAAGATAAACTAGATTAAAAAAGCAAATAGAGAAATATCAGACTATCATTTGATCCTACTAAACTTTGCCACCAAAAATCAGAGATTAAAATGCACTTATTTATAGGAAAAATAGAGCTTAATATAGAGTTATCAAATCAAATCTATATATAATCATTATGTCATGAAAAAAGTAGCAACCATGAATCCAAGTGTCAGATTGTGTCTAAACAAACACAAGAACACTATGAAGGGTTGGTAGAAACTATTGAAATCTTTGAATAAAATTTATTGAGGTCAATTATTCCTAGCAATCATATAAATAAGATAATCATGGCAAATTTCCAAAAATTACATCTTAACGTGATCTGACAAGTGACATCCATAATTGGTTACAGGAAAAAACAATTAAAGGATCAATGAGTATGAGTTGACTTACATCTTTGGAATAAAAGCCTTCAATAGAATTAATGCTCATCTTTGAATTAACTGCCTCTAGTTTCATTGATAAGAACTACAAAATTGCATTTACATCACAGATTCAGACATAAAGATCAGAAAAGAAGACATTATAAGGTGGCAATTCAAGACTTTGAGATGCATACCTCAACTTGCCGTTGCAGTGACTGGATGTAATTAATTATTTCATCAAGAACAAGAGCTTTTCCAATAACCTGATAAAAAAATTTCATTCATTATTTAAAACAAGGAAAGAAAAGATGAATAATAACGAGAAGGATGAAATGAATTCATCATTTTTTGTTTTTATTACCATCCTAGATTATGCACAAAAGCAAAAATATAACTGCCCCAAATTTTAATACCTTATTGCATCCAGGAACCAGATCTTGAAGAATCTTCATCCTTTCACTAATCTTCTCTCTCCTAGCCTGACAAAGAAAAAGTATAGTGAGCAACATGTTGCACAAATGAATAAAATATTCGGTTTCCATTCATGTGCAATACATGATCCAACTAGTGTGTAACTAAAAAGAATATTAAAACTGTTGCCCACCAATCTAGATCTATAGTACATTTGCAAGTAATATTTTTTTAATTTATTATTTAGAAATTGCAAGTTCAGAAGGACTAATTACCCTCTCAGCCAAACTATGGCTATCGGTAGCTTGACCCCTCCTGGCTCTGACATGAATATAGTCTTGCTTAGGCGGCTCAGGTTTAGTGTTTTCTTCTTTCTTGCTACCAGCTGCAGAACTACCTTCAACTTCAGCTTTAGAATCGCCATTTCCATTCTTCGATCCTGAAGTTTTCATTCGTTTTCCATTTGAATCACTCTGTCAAAATTAAAAGATAAATCATCATAATCTATATTCAAAACCAACCAACAATTAATATCAATATAGATGTATCAAAACTTCTACATCCTAATATGACACCAAAAAAAAAAAAACTCGGTTCCAGATAACAGATGTGAAGTCGCATGAAATATGAAGGAATATTCCGGAATCAAACCCCATGGAAATACAGATTGTCTAACCATCAGTCATTTACCAAGTTGATTTAGAAAAGAGGAAAATTGTTTTGAGCCTTAAAAAAAAATGTTAAATTTATCATCACTTGATTGAAATTGACTTAAACCCAAGAAACAGCTGAGCTACCTCCTCTTAATCTCAATCTTCCAAATTTCAGTCACTTACTTGAGATCACAATCAACAAAGGAATAACTCACGCATCAAATTGCACAACAGAATTGAACTCACCAGAGAAAACCCATCATTCAGTTCTTCCCTAGCCCAAGTTTCCTTTTTCTACATTCTCACCAACTAAATAGAAATTCAAACTCAAAAAAATAAAAAATAAAAAAATAAAAAAAATCCCAAAAAAGAGCTAAAATTTCAAAATCAAGAGGAAAGTGGAAAGAAAGAAACAAACACACCAAGTCATTTGCACTACTAGTAGTGGAAACAATCTTGGAAGACTCATCCTCGGAGCTTAAGGCCCTCCTCTTCCTCCCTCCACATCCACCGCTTTGCTCAGTTACTGTGGATTCCTCCATGGACCCATCTCGGAGACCCGAATTCTCCCCAAAGCCGCCCAGATTTCCCATTCTGAGCCCCAACCCACCTCCAATAGCAACATTAGGGCCAGAACCCGGGTTGACTGAGAAGGGCCACATCTCAGCAAGGGTATAGGATAATGGGTTTGCTGCAGAAAAGGAGTTCTCATTGATCAGTGGAGGATCCATTCTCAAGCACCCAAATGCATATACTGGGTGAACCCTGTGTGGAATTGGGATCAGGAGCAGGAGAATTGAAATTGAACTGGAAGAGGGAGTGGTTTTGGTGGGTTAGAGTGGGAATAAAGTAAGATGGTCTAGTGGGTTGATGGTCTATTTAAGGAGAAATTTGAAAGTGTGAATTTTGAAGAGAAAGAGACAGCAGAGGGAGAGGAGATGGTGGAGATGAAGAAATGGTAAGCAGAGACTGTAACTTGTGAAGGTCTGATATTTTTGGTTGGAGATGGAGTTTGGTCATTGGTACCTTTTGTTTCTTACTCTACACTTTTGTCATTATTATTTTTTTATATGGTTTTTTTAATGGATAAGATCAGATTTCATAGTAAAATTAATTTACACATAAATTTTAAATATATATTTATATAAAATTTTTTTAATTTATATTTTTATTATAGATTATTAAAATTCATTTATTTTGTATTTTATTTTTTAAAATTACTTATTTTTTAACTAAGAAAAATATAGATAAACCTTAATTATTGATTATAAAAATTTTTGCTCATAAGAGGATTTTTTCTCTTAGATTAAAATTAAAAAAACATATTTTATTAAAAATTATAATCATATTTTATCAAAAATACTAAACAAATAGATAATCACTTAAATAACTCAATAATAACTATTTTTAATAAAAATAAGAGATTTTAAATTCAAATCGTATATTATATTTATAAGGTGGATTAAGGAAAAAAAAGAAGATTACTCTTCATTATATAACATAAGATAAAAAAAAAAATATTAAACACACACATTAAAATCAAAAGATTTTAGTATTAAAATTACAAAAAAAAAAAAATTAATCATAACCATATAATAAATAAAAATTTAAGTGAAATCTACACTATATTTCATCCATCTTGATTGATATTAAATGTTCCTAATTTTCGACAATTCTGAATATTGAATTATTCGTTTTATCTTGCCCTTGGGCTGAAGTATTGTCTAATGGTAACAAGTAGGCAAATAAAATTGGCATTTGTTTTTGTTAATTTAGTTTAATAAAAAAATACATGTTACTCCAACCACACAAATTTTTAGGAATTATATGTTTTAATAAATAAATATTATTTTATAAATAACTTTAAGATTTAAGTTTTATGTATATAGAGTATCTTAAAAACTTAAAATTTATTTGATTTAAAGAAAATAAAAAATAAAGAATAAAAGATAATATCATCTAATCGAATTAAAATATAGATTGAAGTTTTATTTTGATAAAATGAAATGGTAGACTTCTCCTTTCTCAAACGAGCATACCTTTAATTTTAGTACATGTACCACAATTCTGTGAAGGGACGTCCTAAAGAGTAAAGACCATCATTGGTGTACCCAATAACAACCCTTACCGATCTTATCCATTAAAGAAACCATATAAAAAAATAATAATGACAAAAGTGTAGAGTAAGAAACAAAAGGCACTAATGGCTAAACTTAACCAACGCGGGGTTGGATTAAGTGGTAAGCGGTTTGTTACAGTTTAAATAAGGTCTTGAGTTCGAGACCTTGTGAATGCAGCAGCCTCCGTTGGGAGACTCACCCACTATTTTCAGGTGCGTGACGCGGGTCGATCCGAATTAGTCGAAACGAAGTCCCGAATACCGGACTGAAAACCAAAAAAATAACAACCCTTACCTTTCATTTCATCCTTGACTTGCTGTTTTCCACAAACTACTATAAGAAAGTCAACTTAAGTGTAATTTTTGGATGCATAAAATTAATTATAATTTTTAAAAGTATTAATTTATAAATTAATTTTAATTTATTAAATAATAATTATTAATTATTTTTTATAATCAAATTAAATAAAATTAACATTTTAAAAATTATTATTATGAAATCTTAACAATTTTTCATGTAGTCATAACCACACTTATATTTAAACTCTTAAAAATTTAAAACTTCAAATTAAAGGTTTAGTCCAAACATCTTGTGACAAATGATTTGAAAAAGGAAATGATTATCATTAGTTTATATCATCAAGCACATGAAGGGTAGAATAATATTCACAAGTTACAACTTATTTCATTAAAAAAAGAAAAAGAAAAAGTTATAATTTATTTATATATATTTTTTAATTTTTATATATTATTAAATAAACTAATACAATAATATATTTGATATTATAGATCTAAAAAAAAGTAAAGAGTTCATTATAAATGACATGTACCATTATAAAACTATTATACACAAAAAATCATCACTAAATCATTTTTTATAATAAAAAACCAAAAAGCATTTTTTAAAATAGATTATATATTAAAAGTATAATTTAATTTATAAATTTATTAAAATACTTTTAATAAAATTATTTTTTATATTATTTCATTAAAATTATTTTAATAAATTCTTAAAGCATTCTAAATTTTTAATGTATAATTTAAACAATAAGATACAAATCCCAATAAATTTGTAGATTAATTTTAATATGTTAAATTATTAATATAATTTATTTTATTATTTATCAACTAACTATTATAATTATTAATTATTTTTAATAATTAAATAAAGTAAAATAAATATGTTTAAAAATAACGTTAAAAATTTATGCGGCCAACAATTTGTAATAGGTAATCACCACGCCCTTTAATTAACGTCGGCAGATTTGAGCTACTACTAAGGTTAAAACTTAAAAGATCAAATCAATTTGACAAGTGCATGCTTACACATTTGTTAAAAGTCCTTTGACAAGAGAGAAAGAAAGAAGGAGAAATCGTTTTCCATCACATTTCGAAGAAAATAGGGGAGCGAAAATGCATCTAAAAAAAAAAAGGGGTCTGATTCAATAAATTAATAAACTAAACATGTGGAAAAACCATTCTCTACCCTTCTTTTTTAATGGTTTCACAACTATGAGGTAGCTCTCAACTTCGCTGCCTAACCCCTCCTATCCTTTGCTCACAAATGTCAAAAACCAGCCCCCATCATGGCCTAACTTGCCTAGCAAAAAATATGATGCTTAGCTAAGCAAACCCAATCAATAACTCGAAAGCCTCTTTTTGGCATGCCTAAGATAGGTTTCTCCTTCATGTGGCTATGCTATTTGCAGTAGGAAAATTTGTTTGATTATGGTGTCATTGGTGATGTTAAATGAGATTTAATGACAAATTCTCTTTATTTTTATTTTTATTTTTTTTTATATAAGATGATTAATTATTTAGAAATACATGGAATTGACTCTTCAATCTTAATCTCGAATTAAAGTTTTTAAATTAATAACTACTAATTTGATTAAATTCTTATTAATATATATCAACTCTCTTTAATTAATTTGTTGTTAATTGGGTTTTTAAGCATGTGATGCAAATACCCTTTTGGTTTTTGAAACTGGGGCTCAAGATTTCACTTTCGTATGGCCAAAAAAAGAGAATTTCACTTTCATGTAGTCACGTTTTGTCCACAAGCACATGCAATGAAAAGATTATGTTTTTGCTTGCAAGTTTTCACCTTCACATCAATAGAGGGAAACCGATGAAAACTCTAAATTTTTGTTGAATTATGTTCTTGGGAATTTTGTTAAATTATATTCTTTGTGTATATATATATCGGTGTTTAAAATATGTGGTCAAGAGAAAGGTTAAGAATATACTAGGTAGCAAAATCAAGGATGAGGTTAAGAATATATTAGATAGCAAAATCAAGGATGAGGTTGTTAATCTGAGTTCAAACAAAAAATTATGTCTAATCAAAGGCTTCAATACCAAGTTGCTGTTCAAGAAATTTAAAAAATAAAAAGACATTGATATCAAGTCAGGAACCATTTCATCTAATAACTTAAAGTTGTTAAGGGTACAAGGCCTTGGACTTGAATATGTACTTAAACTACTCTCTCGAGTCATTGGAGTCAATCTATCTCCTAGAAATTAAAGAGGTAATTGCAAAACTCAAAGGAGCACAGGCCTTAATGAGTTATAGAACAACTATAGCTATCACGCGAGATGAGTTTGTTTTCTACCAAGCTAACGCCAAACCCTACGAGAGTTGTAGCTCAAGCCTCGGATGTTAGTTTTGGGTTTTATTTATTTATTTTTATTTTTTTATTATTATTTTTTTTTTCCGAAAAGCACTTAAAGTTGTTAGGCAAGTATCCAATTCCAATATATAGGACAGAATTGCTTATGGATAACACTTAACCGAAAGAAAGGTAGGGATATATGGTGCCATGACATGCCATGCAACATTGTTTCTAGACATTAACAACCCAAAAGGATCTGAGTGCCCCATGTTTTGCCAATCATAAAGTTCCAAAGATTGTTTTGTTGCCGGGCAGCACTGGTTAGGTGCACTCTTGGCCCTGGCAAATGTCAGGGTTCAATGCACCCTTTAGGAACAGGAGGGTCTGGATTCCTAGACATATCATATCTTCCAAATTTTGGCATAGGACATCATTCTGACTTCTGAATCATAAGCCCAAATCAAGTTGGATTTTGCTACAAAGGGCTCCATTTGGCCCAATTTCGTAACTACAAAGCAATTCTCTCTCTGGATTTTCTGTTTCTATTAGATATATTTAGTTGTAGTCTTGTGCATTAACCCTTGAATGGTAAGGGACCCTAATAATCAGTGCTAGCTTGATGTAGATGTTGTAGTCTAGTCAGTAAAACATTACTCTTAAAAAGTTGGAACTGGATATACTGATATATAGAACTATGCACTCACCATTAAACTAAGATTTCACTGGTGATAATTCTACCAGTGAAGTCAATTTTTGGACTGAATTTTTTTGCCACTTTATCATATCATATATATAGAACAAAAACGTATGTTGAGACAAGTATCTTTTGCAGCAGCCCAGCAATGTAAGTTATTATTATTATTATTATTTTATAAAGATAATAATTAAAAATTAGTATGTTAGAGGTGTTAGTGGAGCGTATTGAATCTGGGACTTAAGAGTGCTGTCCTTGAGAGCAACAAGTAATCATTGAATCACGGCACCTTGAATGCATGTAAGTTATTATTATTATTATTATTTTACCAAGGCAATGATTCTTACACTATCCACAAATTTAACGAGATAAGGGCCAAATTTTTGGTTTTTTGTTTTTTTACAAAGATAATGATTAATAAATTAATTTTATTAATTGTTAACAATTAAAATTTTAATTTTTAAACCTAGTGAACATCTTATCTTTTTTAATGAAGCGCGGCCTATCGGGCCGCTTGGAGTTCAAATTTTTGGTTTGAACAATCTGCTCATACTCCTTTTTGCAAAAGAATAGATTCTGAATTTCGCAGAAGAGAATGCAGAGAGAGCAGGATGTAATGTGCAAGAAAGCGTTAAGTGGGCTTCTGTTGTTTTGACTTCCCAAGGCACTGGACCCAGAGGATCCTGTAAAATCAACATCAAAAGATTAAATGCTTTGCAGGACATGGCAGCAGGAGGAACATCTATAAACTCCTAGCACTACTGCAACTGCTACAGCCATACCAGCCAGCCACATTCCATTGTATTGGTGCGGAAATCAAAGACCCCCTTCCTCAATTTCTTAACATTTCTTTTTAGGTTAAATCTCTAATCTGATTTTTAAATTATTATATGTATCTTAATTTAATTTAAAAATTAAAAAAAATTTTGATTTGATTCCTAAATTATTGTACGGATTTTTAATTTGATCCGACTATTTATCAATTTACCCCAAATTAATATTTTTGTACAAAAATCAACTGACATATCTTGCTATTAACGTGACATATGACCATTAAGTTACTATTTTTCACCTTTAAGTAACGAACATGTGAGTTATGTGAGTTATTTTTTGTATGGAATGACCAACTCAAGACAAATTGGTGAACAGTAAGGATCAAATTGGGGTCTATACAATAGTTCAAAGATCAAATCAAAAATTTTTTTAGTTCAGGAACCAAATCAAGGTCCGTACAATAATTCAGGGACCTAATTGGGGATTTAACCTTCTTTTTAAATATTGGCAATTGAGGGGAAGGAGGTGGGTGTTTCTCAAGTCCCCGGTAGTGGTAGGAGTAAACTCCCAATCTTGAGATCCCCAGCTTTTACGGTTTGCGAGTAAAGTAATGGGCTAATTAAGGCTGGCTCAGCAGGATAGAAATAGACTAGAGATTAAAAAACACAAGATGATCAAATAGGAAACAATCTCCTAAAGAGAACGAGGGCAACGCATGTGAGTTAATGATTGGTTTTCGATTGCTAAATCCCAGCAATTTTATATAAGTATTAGAGCCAGTTAAAAAAGGGGGTGGATTCTTCTGTGTGGAACCGAAGAAAAGGAGAGAAAAACTGTGTGTCCATATGCTACTCTTAGGTCTTAGCAAAAGCAATGTACAAGCTACAAATAAACAGGACAGCTCTGCTTTAGTTTTTAGCTTGTCCCAAAGATTTCAACTTTTCTAGTAATGCTTTTAAGTACTTTCCAAGTGTTTTATCTCCACTTCACTCTGCTCTTTGTACAGTGGTCTTAAACAAGAGGATATACAACTTGTGATCCATTGAGAAATAGAGAAACCCACCCACCGAGTGTGTCACAAAAGACCCAAAACTTGTCCCCACAATGCAGTGCCATGCTGGTCCGTAAACACCATCAAACTCCTGCAGACCCACAAACCCATCAATTATTAGTCACAAACTCAAATACCCAAATCATAGAATCAATGAAAGCAGTATCAATTACAACAAAGTTTTGATTTTTTTAAGAAAGATTTAAAGGTGAATTATGATTATTACCTTCTTAAGAGTGAGTGCCAGGGTCTTGGAAGTGAACTTTTCAAGGCTATCATGGGTCTTTCTTGCACAATCAACAGCATGAATCTGCATATACGGTGGCATATCAACTGAAACAATTTTAACACCACAATTTGCAATCACATCTGCTAACTCTACTTGTAAGCCGCCGACGGATCTTCTCCTTAATGCAACTGAATTCCTCTTCACATCATGCCCTTCTTGTTGACCCTCCACTTGTTTACTTTTCACCGCTAAATCTACTTTCTTGGCATCAAATACTCCATCTTTCTGTGCTTTCTTCTTTGAAGTCGCTAGCTCTTGCTGAGATTTCTTCCTATCCCAATCTGCATCTGATTTCCTAAGACTCTCCTTGAGTGCTTCCTTTTCAGTTTTGTAGCGAGGGTTCTTAGGATTGATGAGTGAAAACACAGATGAAACCGCATCAGCCGAAACTGTCATGGCTTTGGCTTGTAAATAGATGTCTTTGCTAGGTGGAGGATGGTTATGTTGGTTGGTGTGATTTTGGGGCTTACGGGTTTTGTGATTTGGGTTCAACCTAGAGAAATGACCGCTCATAAACAAGGACTTGGAAGAGGGTAAAGTGGGATCTGGGGCTTTGGTGGTTGGGCGGCTGGGTTTGGTGGCGGAGGAGGAGGAGCAGGAGGAGGAGGAGGAGGTGGTGGTATGTTTAGGATGCCTTTTAAAATTGGGATCCATGGAGAGGGGAAGATGGAAAACAGGATAAGGAGTCTGATTAGCCTTTTTTGGTGGTGGTATTGTGGAATCAAGAAATGAAAGAGGTGCCTGGGGAGGAGGGGAGTTGAGTTTTCAGCTTTCAGGCGTTGATTGATTGTGGGGCTTTGCAAGGCGGTTAGGACACGGGTGAGACCGTGAGCTATGGTAGAATGTTAGGACACGGGTGAAACATGGTAGAATGTAGATGTAGCAGGCCAAGGGATGGTATGTTCGTAGTTCTAACTTGCGCAAGGAGTGGAGGAGATTGAGGCTCTGACGGTTGACCATTGACTATCTGACTTTCAGTGGGGCCCATGAGGGTGGCTTTGGGGCCACTTCCCTTGATTTTTCATCCATCTTTACCCTGACCGAAAATGAAAGATAAAAATGATTATCACACAAGACAGGCCCAGATGAAGAAAATGTAAAGCTGCATTGAATATATTGACATGAGTTTCTTTTTTTTTTTCCCTTTTTCTTTTCTTTTTGAAAATAGGCATTGAAATATTGACATGAATTTCGAGTATTTTAGTTTAGATTACATCGTAAAACATAAATTATTAAATAAAAATAATTTTAATATTAAAATAAAAATTTTAAGATTTTTTGATATTAAAAGTGTTATGATATTTTATCATAATTATTAAATAGATAGAGTATAATGTGAGTATTAATTTTATTAAATTTATTATATGATTATTATTAAATATTTTGATATTTTTATTGTTAAAATATCTTAATTCTTTTTTTAAAAAAAATAATTTATTTTTACCTAATAATTTATATT